GGTCCAGGCTGTAGCGGCTCATGCCCGCAGCGGTCGCCAGGCGGCACTCTGCGGTGGCGAAGGTCTTGGCTAAGCGGAAAGCAGGGAGAGAGGCGGCGATCAGAGAGCGGTTCCAGGGAGCCTGGCCTCAGTCTTGGCGAACCATCCCCAGCAGCAGGGCCGCCGCCTGTGAGCACAGGAGATGAGGAATGGCCCCTCGGCATAATCCCAGGTAGCTCACCTCCCAGCAGAAGCGCCCGCCTCACCAACAAAGCATATTATCCTCGGGACGGGGAGGTGTGTCCTCGGGGAAAGTAACGATCTTGGTGATTGATGACTTGGAAATAAGATTCAAACAAAAGTCTTACCTCACCCCCCCCGCCCCCGCCCCCGCCAGGGCTGGGCCCCTCTGGCGATTAGTAAATGTTTGCTAAATGAGTAAATAAATGAGAAAAAATTTACGGGGGGTGGGGAGTGTGGTTTACTGAGTTGGACTGGCAAGGCACCCCCCTGCCAGTGTCCCAGGGCATGTCTGAATCCCCCTGCGCTCTCTTCTCTGGCCCGCCATCACCACCCCTCACCTGGCAATGCTGGGAAACCGGACCCCTCATAAGCTGCGTGTGGGAATGTAAAATGGTGTAGCCTCTTTGGAAAACAGTCTGGCTCTTCCGCAAATGGTTAAAATAGAGCTATCATATGACCCCGCAATTGCACTCCTAGATATATACCAAGAGAAATATTCACACAAAAATCTGTGCATGAATGTTTACAGAAAAGTATTCATACTAGCCAAAACAGACCAAATGGCTATCAACTGATGACTGATTAAACAAAATGTGGTATATCCACACAACCAAATATTACTCAGGCATACAAAGAAACGAAGGACTGATATAGCTACAGTGGATGAGTCCTAAAACATTATGCTACATGAGAGAAGCCAGCCACAAAAGACCGCATATTAGTGGTGCCACTTCTATGATATGTCCACATTTATAGAGACAAAAAGTGGATTAGTGGCCGCCTTGATTTGGGCATGGAGGTTGAGGGGATTGAGGATGCTAGCTAAAGGTATGTGGTTTTTGAAGTATTGAAAATGTCCTACAATTGGGGTGGCGGCTGCATACATCTGCGAATATACTAAGAACCATTGAGTTGAACACTTTAAATAGGTGAATTGTATGATATATGAATTACATCTCAATAAAGCTGTTTTTAAAAGTCATTGTAGAAGTCCAGTGTCAGGTGTGAACACGTTCTTGAGAGTGTTGTACAATCAAGTCCGACAAACACTTTGGCTGCTAGGATATGAGTGAGCTGAGCAGCCTAAGGGTGTGTGTGCCCTGTGTCTCACCCTTTGTGGCTAATGGAGGGCTGCAAGGTGTCTTCAGAAACCTAGAACTCGGTACCTTCGCCTTGATGGACTATATTGCATCTCTTCCCTCTGGGTCAGAAGACATCAGTGGGAAGATTCTAAAAGGGACCAGGCTACAGAGCTATGTATGAGCCTGCTTCATGAATGGAGTGAGAGGGAGAAATACTAAACATTTATTGAGCACCTACTCTGAGCCAGCATCATTTTAAGCCAGTGAGTGGTAAAACTGTCACTATATTCTCTTTATAAGCAAGTTCTCATCATCTGGGACACTAGTCCTTTCTGTGTCCCCAGGGGCAGATGCCCTGATGTACCTGCGGAAGCAGCTCCCAGTGCTTGGCATCCAGAAGGCACTCAATAAATATTTGTTGAGTAGACATTTGGGCCAGTTTAGCAGGATGTGTATTAAAATTCAGACGATAAAGGATTAAATATAAATTCTTCATGTAAATGAATGATAAATAATGAAAAAGAAATTGAACTGAAACATTTTGTTTATTCAATATTTTAAATCCAAATTAAATATATCTATGGAATTCTGATAGTCTAAGGTAAAGAATGACATAATTCACCAATCTGCACTATAGTTGGAAAACACAGATGCAGATGGAAAATTGTTCTCCTATGACAATGTGTGGAAATGGGAAACAAGGGAACAGAATGTGATTGGTTTAGAAACCATGGATGAGATCAAAGGGCCATGATCCAAATGAATTCATTAGAAAGTCAAACTGACACAAGAGAGCATCAAGCACTAGCCCTCTACTCAGCAAAGGCTGAGCCAGTGATTCTGAAGTCAGCTGGTGGACAACCATGGAGACACCACCAAGCCCCAGCCATGGCTCTGGGAGTGAACATCAAGGTCAGGTGCACACACCAGGGTGCCCTTCAGAACTGATGAGGTGCATCTGCTCAAACCCAATGAAAACAGCCTTCCTCACTTTTATTAATAGGGGCGCTGATGCTTGACTGATACATGGTACCTGACTGATACAATGAAGGCCATCATCCAACCACAGGACTGCAAAGGACCTTCATAGAACACCCAGCCCAGCACGTCCCTAAGTGTTACATGTGTCCCTCTGGTGGGACAGGGGATGAGTTTAGGTGGGACTTTGGTGTATTAGTTTCCTAAAGCTGCAGAAATTACCAGTGACTTGGTGGTTTAAAATAACAGAAATGTATTCTCTCACAGTTCTGGAGGCTAGAAGCCTAAAATCAAGGTGTCAGCAGGGCCAGGCTCTCTCCAAAAGCTTCAGGGGAGGGTCCTTCCTTCTCTCTTCTAGCTATTCAAAACCTTTACACTGTTCAAGCCGTGAAGGCATCCCCCATAGAGGTAGATGAATTACAGGACTTCTAGTAGCTTAAAAATTTAATAAAGTGGGACATATGGATTGTTTGTTACTTAAAACTACTATTTAAAGCTGGGGAAAAGAAGCACCAAATCTATACTTGGAGAGAGAACTACACTTTTCAAGCGGTTTTGTGGCTGACTGGTGAGTGAACACCAGATGGGGCCAGCAGACCTGGGATCATCCAGCCCGAGTGCCCAGCCACTGCACACAGACACGGGCAGACGATGTTCATGGTCCTTGTCTCCTGGGTTCTTAGAAAGTCCCTTCTCATCTGAAATGAGCTGTCTTGTTACCCTGGCACCTCTCATCAAACAAGAGGAGACCACCAGCTCAGCAAAGCAGGGCCAACAAAAGGTGTTTTATGCACTTCCCTTCTATCACCCCCTCCTCTGTCCTAGAGACTAAGGATGCTGCGTGTAAGTCATTAAATCTTTCCTCCAGATAAAGGAATAATCAGCTTTTGTCTGACACACAAGCCTGCCTACATGGACAAGCAAATGCACAATGCACATTCAAAGAAGCTTGCCACATTTTCAGGGTTTAGTGTTGGAACTTCCATTGCTAATCTGTGGACCACGGTTTCCCCCAGCCACTGTCTATGAAGCCTGTCTAGAGTGAGGCTACTGAACACTCTAGAAGAGTGCAAACCCACTCAAGCCTCAAGCGATACCTGCTTGCTTCTGAACCTGACGCGTGTCTAAGCCTCTCTGTTGGGGGAGCAAACTCCAGGGTCAGGAGTGCGTGGACTCCCCCTCTTCTCCCTCCCCCACAGAGGCCTCTGCAGAGGCTTCCAAGACGCCTGGTGCAGCCCATTCCTGCTGTTGTGATGGAGAGTCAGGCGTGGCACCCAGAGAACCTCCAAAGAAGAGCAGGAAGAGGTAGATGGACAAGAAGAAGAAACCAAGAGCCAGAGAGAGAGAGAAAGTCCCAAAGCGGCAGGAGCAGCACAGAGGGAAAAGGGGTCCCCGCGTATAACACCACAGACACTCCTGACCGAATGTCAGTTCAGCTGGCGTTGACCCTTGTCATTTAGAACCCAAGACCTAACGTCTCCCAGTTAAGTAAACTTGGACTTGAAAAAATTAAACTGGCACTTTACTTGGATTCTCTAACCAAATGAAGCCCTGAAGAGCAAAATACCTCCATCTGCAAAATTATTCTTCAATAATACCTATTCATGCAACAATAACCCCCAAATTCCAGAGCTTTAGACACTATTTTCTTCCAGTTCTCTTCCTCTCTCTCCCTCTTTCTCTTTCTCTCTCTCTCTCTCCACACACCCACACACACGACACATACACATACACACACACACCCTCCTCTCCCCACCTTATCTCCCCACATGGGTCATAACCTCCCATTTGCAGGAGCAGCTGCACAGGCTGCACCCTTTCTACCATCGTCACTGCCGCCTTCCCCAGGCTGAGCGGGTGCCTTCTTGGGATCAGTTGCCAGCAGGTCTGCCCAGCCCAGCAGACCACACAGCCCTGCCCAGGTTGGCAAGAAGGTCAACCCCCACCCCCGCCCCGCCCCCCAGGGCAGTGTCCAGAGGGCTCCATGTGTGAACAGCTGGGCCGGGCTGCTTGAGAGAGGGCCACACCACAGACCTCTAGCCTGCAGACCCAGATTAGAAAAGCAAGTACTACAGCCAGCCTGATAACACTGCCACTCGAGCAGCTGGGAGTAACTTCCCCAGCTTCTCCTGGTGCCACCACCTGGGGAGCATGGCAGGAAGCTCTGAAATGCAAAGAAAGAGACCTGTGAGGAGAGAGGCAGAAAGAGGAAGGGGCAGGAGGGAGAGGCCCCAGGGAACAGCAGCCAGTCCCCAGCAGAACTGCACCTCCCTGCTCCGATCAGGGACACGGGGCATTGTCTCCTACCTTGGGTGACTCTGCCACCGGGCAGCCACACACGCTCCTCTGGGCGCCCACGGGGCCCGCACCTGCTCCGCTGCCGTGGGAGGCAGAGAGGCCTCCCTCCCAGGGCTTCCTGTGGCAGAGACAGCAGCTTCCCTCCAGCCCCTAGCCGCTCTCACGGAGGCTCTGCTGGAGGTTTGCAGATTTCCTTCTCTCGGGCAGTCCCGCCCCTTGTTCTGGCTCAGATAAACTGTGGTGTTTTCCCTGAGGGCCCTCGGTGGCCTCTTGTCCCAGCCTTCCCGGTTCAAAGGGCACCAGGCCACACCACCTATGAGGCTCAGCATTTCATTTGCTTCAATTACATTTCTTCCCCTTCACTTGGTCTCTGGCCAGTATAGATTTTCTCTTTAAGCTTGTCTCTAGGTTCAGTTCCCTCAGCCCTCAGCCCTCAGAATGAACCTATGACTCCCCTCTGGTCCATTTACGTACGTTTATATCCTTTCT